AATAATAAAAAATTGAACTTGGGGTCCCATGTAAACACATGAAAAAGTTGTTGTAAAAGCTGCAATAATCTAGAATAGTGCTCCCAACTGACCTTATAGAGCCAGGGGGGCACATTGATTGTCATCTAAGCGCCAGTGTGGACACCATAGGAGGTCTAGTGGGTTTGTTCTCCAGAATTTTCTCAATATCCTGCACCATGCTTACGTTGAGCTTGGGAATGAGCTGATAAAACGAGTAAGTAAGTGTTCAGTGAGTAGATCGATGGAAAAGAGTCGCTTGCAGCATACCTGCAAGGCCTGAATACTTTCGTACAATTGGTCCACATTGCTCGCACCCAACAGCAAACACTGAACCGACTCGTTCTTCAAAGTCCAGGCAATAGTCAACTGAGCCAGCGAACAGCCCAGACGTTCAGCCAAACTGTTCAGTTCTCTGATGCGTTCTGAATACTTTCGCGATTCTTCAGCTGGTTGGCTTCGTTCCTTCATCCAGCCGTATCCCTGCAGAGTAACACAGTGAAGAACATTCGGATGATTACATTCAATCGGCTTTGATTGACTCACTTCTTTATTTGCAGCAGCAGTTTCATCTTCAGTCCACGAAAACGAACTGTATTTGTTGCGGAAACTGGCCCGCGAAAACAACTGAATGGTACTGTCGTCTTTGCTTTGGGACAGGCCCATGGATATGGGCGACCAAGCCATCAACCCTATAAAGAGTTAAAAGTTATGGAAAATGCGTGTGCTTGTCTACTATCGGGTTAGTAGATTAATATACAATTGATCTTTGGAGGATTTTAGGAGGGAATTTTGAAGGAAGTGTTTCCCAATACTGCCTAATCTTTGGCAAAGGCTCATTTTGACCTGTATTTGCAACATGCGAAAAAATCAGCATTAAGTGCGACCCTAATGACAGTTTTCCTACTCTCGCATGTCTCTATTATCTACAGAGTGTGAAATTTTCGAATGTGTATATTGGCTCGCGGATGCGAATATTCCAAACAACAATTTGCTGTCGTCTAGAAGTTACGAATTTTTAAAATGTACGATGTAATTGATTGAAAACATCACTTTCGACTTGCATTTGCAAAATTCGGCAAAAATTAGGATTAGCTGCAACTTGAATAAAATTTCGCACATTCTTGAATGTTTCTATTGTCTATATAATGCAAAAACTCCAAAATGAAATTTGGTCTCGTCTAAAAGTTACGAATTTTTTAAATATACTGATTTTAAATATCTAATTGATGGAAAACTTTCACTTTCGACCTGTATTTGCAAAATTCGCCAAAAGTTAAAATTAGCTGCAACTTGAATAAAATTTCGCACATTTTTGAATGTATCTATTGTCTATGGAATGCGAAAATTCCAGAAATAATTTTGTTCTCAACTAGAAATTACGAATTTTAAAAATATATGATGTAATTGATTGAAAACACTCAGTTTTGACCTGCATTTGCAAAATTCGCCAAAAATTAGAATTAGTCGCAATTTGCATAAAATTTTGCCAGTTTTTGACTGTATCGATTATCTATTGAATTCAAAAATTACAAAAAAAACTTGGTTCTCGTCTAGAAGTTACACATTTTTAAAATATACTATGTCATTGACTGAAAACTCTGCAATACACGCAAAAATTTGCGTTAGCTGCAATTTGAATGATATTTCCCACATTTTTGAATTTGTCTATTTTCTATCGAAGGCTAAAATTCCAAAAATAAATCTCTTCTCACCTAGAAGTTACGAATTTTTAAAATATATGATGTAATTGACTGAAAACATTCAGTTTTGACCTGCAATTGCAAAATTCGCCAAAAATTAGGATTAGTCGCCATTTAAGTCAAATTTTACAGATTTTTGACTGTATCGACTATCTATTGAATTCAAAAATTCCAAAAAAAAATTTGTTCTCGTCTAGAAGTTACGAATTTTTAAAATATACTATGTCATTGACTGAAAACTCTCATTTTCGACCTGCCTTTACAAAATTCGCCAAAAATTAGGATTAGCTGCAACTTGAATAAAATTACGCACATTTTTGTACTAACCTATTGTCTATATAATGCAAAAATTCCAAAAATAAATCAATCTGTCTAATTGATTTAAAACTCTCACTTTCGACCTACATTGGCAAAATTCGCCAAAAATTCAGATTAGCTGCAACTTGAATAGAATTTCGCACATTGTTGAACGTATCTATTATCCACAGAATGCAACAAATTACAAAAATAAATTATTTGCTCTCGTCTAGTAGTTACGAATTTTTTAAATATACGGTGTCATTGACTGAAAACCCTCATTTTCGACCTGCGTTTACAAAATTCGGCAAACATTAGGATTAGCTGCAACTTGAAGAAAATTTCGCACATTATTGAACGTATCTATTGTCTATACAATGCAAAAATGCTAAAACTAAATTTGCTCTCGTTTAGAAGTTAGGCATTTTTAAAATATACGATGTCATGGACTGCAAATACTATTTTGAGTTGTTTTGAGAGCAAACACTATCTTGAATAAAATTTTGTTTATTTTTGACATTTCTATTATCTACAGAATGTGAAATGTTCAGTTGGTCCCCACTAGAAGTTATAATTTGTAAAAATATATTGTAACATATGTTTAAAATTTATATTAAAATATGTTCTTGGCCAAAAACTAATATTTTTGAACTGTATTTGTAAAACGAACAAACAGCAAGATTTAGTGCGACCTTAATGACTGTGTTTCGGGAATTTACAATTTTTCTAAATAGAGAATGTAATTGACCAAAAACGCTCATTATTAGCCTGCATTTGAACTTGAATAAAATTTCGCACATTTTTCAATATCTATGGAATACATAAATTTCGAAGGAAAATTTGTAATGTAATTGTAATTTTAGTTTTTTTGCTGTTGCCTAAATGTTATAGGTTTTACCACAAGAATTGTTTACAAGTGTATTGGAWAGTGGAAAATGTATCGTTAAAATCCCGAACTTTGTTAAAAATTAGGCAACTAAMTAGCACCATRCTTATTACTTTTTAATGCGGATGCAAAAGTTCACTAGAAAAACACAAAAAAGAGGTAACAYTCTTCAAGATAGTTGGCTTAACTCTAAAAAAATCCCCATMATCGAGAACGAGACACATTTGTGACACCCGGCAACTTTTCCTCCATCCATTTCTCSTAAACCAAGTATTTTTAAAGAACATCGGACAACAAGGCACAGAACGACTAAGATGTCTAAATGCAGATGAGTTTGTTAAGGAAAGTCGGCAATATTAACCCTGACATTTTTTAYTCTCTTTMGGACCAAAATCGGTGAATAACTGAACGTCCATATGCAAATACATAACATATAAATGRAGCAAATTAAAAGAAAGTTAGGGAGAATATCCACCRAAATTGGTAATTTGGTASGAGAAGTCACTGGTAATATACAYTTTCCWGGTAGCAAGCTGACGTTCACTGACGTCAATATGACGTCATCTTTTGGTCATCATTGACCTTTAGTCATCTTACAATTTTGACCTGGATTGACGCACATGTGACGTCATTTTCTGACGCCAATGTATCGTGATTTTCTGACGTCAATGTGACGCCATTTCTGACGTCTTTTTGASGTCAYTGATTTTTTTTTAATTAGCATATTTCTACCTGTATGTCGGTTCTAAAAATASTGGGATACCGGRAACCACTCTTAAGGGTGCATGGYTTTCAGGATTCGTGTCCAGTCAAAGTGACGAARMAAAGGAGAGTTTTTGCCTCATTTTTAAGTTGAGAAGATGTATTTTCAACAGTTTTACGGCTGCCCTCTAATCGAAAATCAGGGACTCATTTATGTTATTTATAACAAGTTTGTCCAAATAAATATAGTTCCAATTCAGTCGTTTTGCTTGGGCAAAGTCAAAATAGTTCACACAGTCCACACATTGTCGAACGGCAACTTACCAAGAATAAACAAYTATTTYATAATAAATAAKAAATAATAAAGAACTAAAYYAGCCTGGTATTGTATTATGTATAAGAAAGTTTTTAACATTTCTGCAATAAAACATTTCAGCTATAGAAATAGTGTTTATGTAGCCAGCAAATATAAAACCCTATTTAAAAAACCAGAAACTGTATTAATTACGTCAGCAATTGACGTYATTAAGATGTCAGCAAATTGGCGTTATTAAAACGCCAGCAAATTGGCGTCATTAAGACGTCAGCAAATTGGCGTCATTAAGWCGTCATTTTAYCTGTGACATTGTGGCATTGAAATGACGGCAGTTTAACGTTAGTAASTGACRTCCGTCGGGCATTTGATGCMMAAAAATTYACGTCAAAATGACGACAGTCTGCTAYCTGGGTTGGTTGAATGAACTTACCGACACCAATCTTATTGTACAGTTCGGGCATGTGGAGCTCAGTTTTTTCGCGGCAGAACAGATGGTATTCTGCCTGTTCCACAATGGGTGTTACACAATTGAATTGCCGGCAGTTTGTATAGGCTTCCATAATTTCCACTGGAGACCATCTGGCAGTGCCCCAATACATCACCCAGCCCTGGTTTATTACGTAGTTCATGGCTCGCACCACCTCTGAAATATATGCAACAAGGCACCGGTTTAGATCACAGAACACCTCTGAACTCGATTCGAACGAATCGAATTCCTTATCGATTAATACCTTCCATGGGGCACATGGGGTCAGCCTTGTGAACGATCACGACATCGATGTAGGAGAGCTGAAGACGACTCAGACTCGCTTTTACACTTTCGATGATGTGTTTCCTGGACAATCCCCGCTCTTCAGACCTGAAACGCGTCCAATTGTTCAATAATCATCAACCTGAGCGTTGCAACAACCGTTCCCACCTAGTGCTCCAGTAAATTTTGGTGGTCACGATGAAGGTGGTCCGTTTCCAGCCCCTCCGAGTCAAAATTCGGCCCAATTCCACTTCGGCTCGTGTGCCTGAGAAAAAAATGCATTTGCAAATAGACTTCGCTTTCAAATCGAAAAGAGGCGCCTACCGGAATGAGCTTCGGACAAATCAAAAGCGTTTATTCCACTTTCTACCGCTAATACTATTATTTGTTCTGCTTGTTCCTCCGTTACGTTTGGACTGAAAGTAGGCCAAGTACCTAAAAGAAAAAAACAGTGTTTTTGCTTCAACAATTTTCATCTTTTAAAAGAGACAGAATTTGCCCCTATTTTTTTTCTATTTGCAATTTGCAAAAGAACGAATTAGTCATCGAATCGAAACCAGGTGGAAAATGTTGTTGAGGTTCCAACTTTCAGAAAAAATAAAATTAAAACACAAAAATCTAAAACTTTTGTATTTAGAACTTTGACATTCAACCTCAAATTAACTGTCAAAATGACGAAAAACGTATTTTTCAGTTTTTTTTCTCTCGCATAACTGATTTGATTTACATGAAAATTCGTAAAAGTATGTCTTTTCTGATGCTGAAAATGTTACTACAGTTGAAAGAATTTTATTAGTCAGTAGTTTGCTTACACATATTAACGCTGGAATGCAACTATGATTAGAAATCTATTTGAAACCTACTCTTATGACCACGTATACAGGGTGAGTTTTTTTCGATGGCCAGTACAGGGATCTTCGGAACTAGAGCAGTTACGAAGAAGGTCAAATGGACAAAGAATTGAAGTTTTGAAAGCTCTACTCGAAACCAATTTTAATTTCTTAAATTTTACAACTGTCAAGAGATCAATGTTAATCAAGCTGTTAATGATATTTGGGAAAAACTTATTTATGGTAAATTTTTTAATTACGCCTAGTTCCGTTAACATTAATTTGACAGGAAAACATTAAATAGACAACTTGTAGGAAATGTAATTCCCAACAAAATGACATGAGATATTTCACCAAAATAACTGTCATTTTTGACATATGACGCAAATTTGAGTTTTTTTAAATGGCAACCATACTTGATTATTTCTTTAGCAAATAGAGCATTTTATTACGATTTCTGTGATATATCACATCGATAGATTTTTTCGAAAATAAAGTGTTTGCGAACAATTTACACTTTTTTCAATTTAGTTGATCTGAGTTATGGAGTCATGGGAAATAGTATAAGACATAGCATTGTTTCCATAGCAACAAATAATAACTTCTTTCAACTTTTGACAATCAAGTTTAAAGTCAACTTAGAAATCTAAGTTAGTTTTATTGTAAAAATGACTTATTTCAATCAAGAAAAGCGCGACATGATTGAAACTTACATCAGATGTGATAAAAATGCTAGACGAGCCTCTGATTACTATTTTCAGAGGTATATTGACTGTCGTCAACCGTCTTTCAAAACTTTCAGACGATTATACAAACTTGACACTTACGGAAGTTTTACGCAGCCAAGAAAAGAAGATAAAGTTATAAATGAAGCTGTGGAGGTTAATATCTTGGTCATTGTGAGCCAGAATCCACAGATTTGAACCAGATAGATCGCAGCAAAATCCGCAACTTCCCAAAGCACCGCGATAAGAGTTTAAAAAATACACAAATTCCATCCATATACATTATCAGTATCCCAAACTTTACATCCAGCGGATGAGAAACTCCCTGTGAATTTTTGTATATGGATCCGAAACAAAGCCAACAAGACATCCAATTCCCTTATAAAATATTGTGGACCGATGAAACTCGATTTACAAATTGTGGTATATTTAATCGACACAATAAGCATCTGTGGAATCAAACAAATCCCCACCACGTTGAGCAAAGGAGAACACAAATTAAATTTGGATTGAAGACTTGGAGTGGAATGGTACGTTAAAAAATTTTGGGACCATTTATTTTTGAAGCCACCTTAAATGGGAGTCGGTATCTTCAATTCCTTCGGAATAACCTCGATTTTATGTTGGACTACTTAGATTTAGATACATGGTGTAATGTGCAATGGTTTAAAGATGATGGCGCTCCTCCACATATTTTTCCCAAGTACGAAATCGCCTGGACGTAACATTTCCTGGGGCTTGGATTGGACGAAACGGCCCTATTTGATGGCCACCTCGATCACCGGATCTTTCACCTCTGGATTTCTTTTTGTCGGGAGCCGAAAAAAACACAGTTTACAAGAACCAATATTCCAATTTAAATGCACTTAAAGAAGCTGTTGATGGTCGGTCCGCAAGAAAAGCAACTTATTCAGTTTTAAAGCGTTGCAATGTTTGTATTGATAATAATGGTTGACTTTTTGAAAACGTTTTACGAGTTACGAAGTTTCTAGAGTTAAATTTTATTATTATTGGTGTTATTTGAATTTTATAATAAACACTTTAAATGAGCAGCAATCTTAATTAAAATAAAGTTATTGACTTTAACGTAGTTGTTAAAATAAATACTGAAGCATCCTGTTATTATTTGTTACTATGGAAACAATGCTGTATGTCTTATACTATTTTYCATGACTAACTAAATCAACTAAATTGGAAAAGTATAAATTGTTTGCAGACACTTTATTTTCGAAAAAACCTAACGATGTRATATCACGGAAATCGCAATAAAATGCTTTAATCAGTAAAGCAATAATCAAGTATGGTTRCCATTAAAAAAAAACTAAAATTTGTGTCATGTGTCAAGAATGACAGTTATWTTGGAGAAATGTCTTTTGTCATTTTGTTTTGAATTTAATTTCCTMCAAGTTGTCGATTTAATGTTTTCCTGTCAAATTAATGTCAACGAAACTAAGAGTAATTTAAAAATTTACCATAAACAAGTTTTTCCCAAATATCTYTAAACARTTTTAGAACATGTCTTTTTATTGTCAATTTTTAGTTCTTTGTGACCCTTAATCCACTCTTCAATGGTTGGCTTTTGTTTTGGCATTGTTTAAATAGTTACCACGTACAGCTAATTAAAGCCAAGTACAGACGATACAAACAAACTAGAGACCAGAGCACCTCGTCGTAACTAACTAAATAAATARCAAAAGTCTCGGCATAGCGCAAGGCTAAACTTTGGGGAATTACCTACGTGCAAACGGATTTTTCGGGGAATCACGCGACGCCTTGCAAAGTTGTCAAATTTACTTTATATGGACATTTATTCCCGTATAATGTAATATGCGGGAAAAAGCTAAAATAAGCACGAACGGACACAATAGCATGAAAACGTTAAAGAAGCAAAAAAAAGCATTATAAAAGCTATCGCAATATACTTAGTTTGGTATAATTCGTAATAGAAATGAAATAATCTTATGGTTGCTTATAAAATTCAGCAATAAGCAAAATGCTTAAAATCCGGTCTTTATTTATTACATTGTTCCCGATATGCCCGTAATTTTAAGGACGGTTTTCGGCCTTTAATGAAAAATGCTTTCGCGTGTTTCATAGGTAAACATATTTGGTTTGAACTCATTTTCTGGCATTAAATTGACCTTTCGGTCAATTTACGACTTTTACACAATCACCGTTCTGAACTAGTTACAACCCATAGGTACCCGCATAAATATTTAAATTCTATTCTAACAGACCCACTTTTTGAAGAAAATTCCACCAAAGTATCAAAAAATTTTCCGCAAGATTTTTTTATTTTAATTTTTTTACTACCTGTGATTTCAAAATGTGTGGAGTAATTAAAGTGAAACTTGAAAAAATGTATTTGCTTCATTGTTACGTCTAACAAAATTTAAAACGAAACGTATGAGGAATAGCTATACAATTAATTATATGAACGGAACAACAACTCCAAATACGAATAACGATAACGTTAAACAAAAACGTTAATCAAGTTTTTGATTTTTTAAACTTTGATGAAAATGAAATCATTTGTGCGCGATTCCGGCTTTTCAGGGGACTGCCACTGGACATCGAAGTTGGCGCGACGGAGAAGGAGCTCAAGGAGCCGGAAATCAAAGACGCTGAAGCGTTCCGGATGGTTAGCAGAGGATCCAAGGAAAGACTTTGGTTCTAGTAAAGACAGCCAACAAGGACATCTGGAATATATCCAGACTGTTCAACCTGACCGTCAAGCTGGAAAAAAACGTAAGACCCAAGATCCTGGACAATGTTTTAGGTGCCAACGACATGGACACAGAAGCGCAGATTGCTTCCAAGGACACCCCGCCAGCTGGAGAGGAAAACAACCCCAAAGAGGACTACCCCTTGCAGTACGCAGCAACAAATAGCAGCAATGGACAGGGAGTCCTTGGAAGCCATTGTCCAAGCGGTAATGTCCCGGCTCCATGTCTAAACGGCCTGACAGTTTTACAGTAGTCTCTTGGAACGTCAATGGGCTAAAAACTCGCCGTCCAGAGCTGGACGAGTCCCTGAACAACAGGAATCCTGAAGTGGTAACACTCCAGGAAACCGGTAGCAAGTAATATTAGGATCAACATACAGGATTATGAGGTTTACAGGCACGACAGCGCCCGACGTGGAGGAATGGCCCTCCTAATTAGGACGGACATCGACCCCCACAGCATAGGAGTAGAGGACACCGACATACACGCCATCAGCGTGCAAGTCAACACCTCTAAAGGGCCAGTAATTGTTACTTCTGTTTACAGAGCCCCCCTCAGGAAGCCCTGAACCTGCTGGACATCCAGACAATGTTAGGGAACAACAAAGCAAGGCTGTTGATAGGTGACCTAAACTGCAAAAACACGGAGAGGAACCTCACGCGAACCTGTAGTAAAGGCCGACAGGTATTAACAATGAACTGTGCCAGTTAATAGACAGTTATATTTGCAGAAGGAGCTTCAGCGTTAAAGTTTATCCAACATATATACTTTTATCCAACACTTTTATCCCACATATATACAAGCGACATTCCAAGGCCAGGGAGAGGAGTCAACAAAACCCTCACTGAAAGAGCCAGAAGAATTTGTGAACCAGCTGAGTTAGAAAGAGCATTGAAACACCTAGAGAGGGCCTTTGGTTGGAATGGAATAAGAAACAGTGGAGGTTGTCCGGAAAAAAACAGATACGCATGATGAGCGTAAGAGTTGGGCTTGCCTCCCATACATTCATGGAGTCGCGGACACGATCGGCAGGATCCTGGAGAAACACAAAGTCAAAACAGTTTTTAAATCAACTCGAACAATCCAACAGACTTTGAGATCGGCGAAGGACAAATGGGATCCTTTATCAGCACCATGAATCTACAGAGTTTCATGCAGTTGTGGCAGAGCATATATCGGCACCACAAAACGTAGTGTAAACACTAGGATCACTGAGCATAAAAGAAGTTGCAGATTGGGGCAAACAGAAAAATCAGCAGTAGCGGAGCACGCACTTCTAGACGGCCACCAAATATGTTTCGACGAAGTGGACATTTTGCACCAATCTCAACGGTATTACCTGAGACTAACCAGAGAGGCCATTGAGATCTTTAAACATGACAACAATTTTAATAGGAAAGAAGAGGTAACGGCCCTTAATCCAGATTGGAAACATTTGAAGCCCCGCCCACTCCTCACGCATGAGCTCACACGGCCGGGTCGCACAAATACGACAGGGGATCCAGTAGTTGAACCAGTCTTAGTCGGGAGATCGGGAGATCACTTCGCCCACTGCCTCATAGCCTTTGATAATGTCCACCGCAGTTGTGGACGAAAAGTAAGGAAGAAATTCCCATCGGCCACGGCTTCAAAGTCCGAAAAACATTCCTAAATATGGGTTGACCGGCCGTGAAAGCCTTCACAGGTTGATTCAGGGTTTTTTTTAGTTGGTAAGAATCTAACATGCCTTCGCGAAGATTTTTTATTCTTCCAGCCGCCGGACACACAAAAAAAAACATTAGGGTTTTTGCCATTTTGTTCGATAATTTGAGGTTATGTCGAAAAGTGTTAAATATAGAAGTTTTACAATCTCTTTTTTTATCTACAACTCTGCCTTTGAATGTTTTCCGATCGGAAATCAAGGTTCGCAAATCGCAAAAAACCGCTTTCAACCCTTAAACTCATTTCCCCATTTCCAGTGTTTTCGCGTTTAAATTTTCGCTTAAACTTGGAACTTCAACAACATTATCCACCTGGTCCATGCTCCTGGTCCTGTTAAAATTTTTTCCAAAGAATTATTTGTACAAGCCTAATACAGGTCTGTAACAATAGGGTGTTTTCACTTTTTTTAAATGTTAATATATAGAAAGAAGTTATGGCAAATATTGCACTGATATAACCTTTTTTGCAAAAAAATCTCCATAATAATTTTAAAGCGAATTTAATTTTAAATCAGATATTTTCCGCCAAAAACGCACAATCCGTATCGTCGGTTGCCTATCCCGATTGTGACGTAGCAGGTCATATCAACAATGTGTATCGTGTTTATTTTGTTGCTTTCGTAGCTCTGTTTTATTATTTAAGTTATTGGGATTATCATTATTTTCTTGCATAATGGAAAATTGTGACATGTATGGAACACAAAATAAGTGGTGTTTTGTGCCAGGATGCAAGAATACCCCAATAAGTGCTCCAAACAAACTCTCTCTAACCGTTCCTCATGATTATGCACGTAAAGTTTTATGGATCAAAGCAGCTAGACGTGATGTTCCTAAATCAAAATCAATGTTTTTGTTGCGAGGATCATTTTAATGAAAGTACGAAGAAAAATCTAATGATGAGGCAGATAGAATATGCCTTGGATCGCACTTTGTGTTCTGGGCAAATTCTACCTTGTACAGTGCACAAAGAACCCTCACGTTTCAATTCCACATATCCGATATCACCATATTGTTCTCGTCATGCCCAAAATACAAATTTAAGAGTTTATTTTACTTTTAAAGCAGCCATGTGTATAAGTTAGGTTAAGTTGAATAAGTGAAATCCTATATTGTATTTACCTAATTTAAACTAATAGAGACAGATTAGTATATTAAGGAGAGAGTAACCAATAATGAATTTACGGATTTTTACCTACGCTGCTGCTTTGACACACTTAAATTAGGCTGAATCGATGCGTTAGTCGTTT